ATAAATTTTTCACTTTTAATATTTTGTTGATTCAAAGTATTTAGTTTGGTTTTGGAATTTGTTTACTTTTTTTTATACCAAATGAATTTTGTTTTATTTACTTTTTATATATTTTTTGATTTCTAAATATTTGTTTCACTTACTTTTTGTGATGTGCACGTTACGAGGCTTTTACGTTGAATGATTTGTTTTAGTTTGGCACCCTATCAGCCGCACTTTGACAGACAGCCTGAATTGTGACAAAGCCAACTTTGTATATATACATATGTATGAATATCAATATACATATACATATATGTATATGCATATATTCGCTATGGTTTGCGTATATACGAAATGAGTTTTTTATGTAAATCCAGTTCAAGTTTTTGTTTTTGAAAGCACGTTAAAGTTTCCACTTGTAATTCAGCATATGGCCAGGCAATATAGGAAAACTCAATAGCCAAACACTACACACAGACGCACTCACTAATACTCACACTCTGCGCACAAGCGGCGACCTTTTCAAGTGCTGCGAATGGCGGCAGATACGAAAAACTGAAAAATTTTACCCACAGAGAAAAAGTTTCCGAAGCTCGTCCAGCTAGTCAAAAGAGAGTCTATTGGCTTGGTCTCATGCCTGTCTATTGCTTATTATATGTGAAATAGGCCCAGGAATGCAGACCTCTTAGAGAGGGTAGAGAGTTTTGGTATGGACATTACTGCTAGGGTTATATTTATATGATTATATTCCCATATACCCACACAGCGAGTATTATGCTATTGCTTACGCTCGACTGCAAACATTCTTATTTCTTTTTTTCCAAGTCAAAAGAGAGAATGCTGTGAAAAAGTTTAGCTTATAAATTTCCAATCAATTTTTGTGCAAAAAATCAAATAACAACAAGAACAAAAAAACAATGCACGCCCAAGTGCCTCACTCATATATTCATAAGCGAGCGCACACACACACATACAAACTCACACAGCGTATATGTGTGTGTATTTGCGTGTATTGCTATTACTTGATTAATAAATATTAGCAGCAAAAATTGGAAAATTCTCTGAGATGTGCAAACACGCCAAGCGAAATGCGATACATTTGCCAAATGGCACACACACACACACCCACACAGACATACACCCACACATATGCAGGTATAATTTACCGTTGGCAACTAATTTTTGTTGCTGTTCGACACCTTTAGTGTCTGGCATTAATAATGTAAAGTGCGTGCCTCAAATGTAAATTTCCAACGCTTGCGACACTCGATGCTCGCACAACAGCAGCGGACGCAGGTGAGTGACACCTGCCCTTGCAGGCGGCAGCACTTTGCTTATCAGCTTAAATGTAAATGCCACAAACCGATTGGCATGAGCCAACAACTCCCAACTCTTAACTTTGTCAATGGAAACGGAATCCAGCTGGAACTGAATTTTTTACTGCTGCTCCTGCTGCTGTTCCTGCTCCTGCTGCTGTTGCTTTCTCCTCCTCCTGCTGCTGCTGCTGCACTTGGGATCTGCACATTGTATGCCCGTTGGCTCTTTTTTCTACTCGCTGCTTAACGGTTCTCTGCTGTTTGTTTTGAGCGTATTTAATATAAGTCGATTTGGATTTACGTACGGCAAGCGGTTTAAATATTTAATGAGCTTCTGCCACATTCTGTACATATGTTTATCTTGGCTGCTCTTGACTGACTGCCAACGGGTTCTGCAGACGTATCAAATTGTAAGGCGAGGGTTATTCAAGAGAGCTCATAACTCTGAAGTGAGGCTGCACTAGAGCAACAGATGTTCCAGGAAATGGAATGGAACGGAATGGAAATTATTGTGAGAATATTAATGCTGAGAGCTTGGACAGCAAGAAAAGTGCAGAGGAGCGCAGTTGACAGAGATTAAACACTAAGTTATAAAATCTGCGGATAGTGAATAAACGAGAAATGAATAAACTGCGGGTAAAAGTAAAATATGGATCGAATAACTTAAGAGCGTATTGAGATAAAAGCAGCAGTCGGTCAAATCTATAGTGAATCGATTAGCCAAGGACTTAATAGATTGTAGAGCGAGTTGAATGGCATTCAGAAAATAGTTAGATTAAAGTAAACAGAAACAGCGAATACAACTGAAACAACTATCAATTGCTCTCTATGATTTCCTCAATAACTATTCATTTAGTGAAACAAAAGCTATGCTTGTTTTGATCAATTTTGTAAGGTGATGCTTCTGAATATTTGCAAAATGTGGTCTCCATATTCTTCTCCTCTAAGTATTTCCTCTCAATATTTCTTTCATGTGCTTCCACTAAGAATATAATCTATTTCTTCTAAGTGTTTCCTCTAACAATGTCTTCTAAGAATTTCTTCTAAATGTTTGCTCGAGAAATTTCTTCAAAGTCTATTTCCTCTAAGTATTTTGTCGCAAAGTTTCTTCTAAGTCTATTTCCTCCAAGTATTTTGTCGCAGAATTTCTCCTAAGTATTTCCTGATCACACTCCTCTTCAGTTCCCCTTACTTCACTTTACTGCACTCTACGATTGACCCCCATCAGGTCTGGACGACTGAAGAAATGCTCCCGGTGCTGCCCATTATATAGGGCGACTTTCACTCAAAGCCTAGGTCGCGCTCAGTCGTTGAGTTCGGCCACAGGTAGAGCTCGTTGCAATCGAACTTGAATTGACCAATGGGAACAGCCTCTGCTGCTGTAAGCACTCTCACTTCGTTTTACTCAGCTATAAATACGAAATGAATGCTGCTGCACACATATAAAGAAGTGAAATGATCTTCGGTACCTTTTCTTCGTGTTTTGCTTGGTTAGACAGACAGACTGAGAGAGAGAGAGATCTACAGGCAGAAAGAGAGAGATATACACACAGTTTTACGAACACATTTACAGGCAATATATGTTCATATTACGGTCTGTATGTCTGTCTCCCTGTGGGTCTCTCTGTCGGTCTGTTCTATCGTTCTCTTATTGCCTTCATATTTCATGGGCAATTCCCTGAAAAGAGTTTCAGGAGATGGCGACTCAAGTCAGTAGCATTTTCTTAGGCAAATACTCTTCAAAGGCCGTCGGCAGTTAAGCCAGTGATTCGTGCTGGTTGTTGTCGCTATTTATTAAAGCGACCCATGTTACAAGGGCTAAGTAGGTAGGCTTGGTCCAGTGCCAGCCAGCCGGATAGACTGAGCGGATTTAGCATTAGAGAAGGGGGGACGAGGGGGAGTGGGAGTGGAGTGTGAATGGAAATGGAGTTGGCCAATAATTGGACGTACTGTGTGTCTGTCTCGCTGTCTGTCAGGCAATGCATGATTTGTGGCAGTCCGAAAGGATTTCACGAAATGGCAGGCCTTTGATCTTATGGTTGGCAGGTGGATACGCTACACGGCAAACATTTAATAAGCCTTTCGGTTAGTTTCTGTCTGCGACAGAGCCAGAGAGATGAGTGAACGAGAGGTTGCAGGAGCTGGAGAGCGAGAGAGAGATACAGAATATAGCGAATGTTTCGCGCCTTTTGTAAAGTCTCATTAGTTGCTTCGTTAATATTCCGATTGTTGACACACACACACAAGCACACAAACACACTCACACACACACATACACACACACAGATACACAGATACAGATACAAAAAAAGTTTTTGGCTTGGCGACTTAACTGTATAAAGCAATTTAATTAATAGCGTCCCTTTTGCCCTCTGCTCAACAGCCAGATATCCTTCGTCCCGCCCATCGCCCGCCGTCCCCTGTCCCATCGTCCTTTACGTGTGCAGCGTGCCGTAAACTTAATTAAATGTGCAAGTGACGCGCTGAGCACAAAATGAACCAAGCAATAAGCACGGTTTGAACTTCGAGCATTCGCTGACATGTGACAAAAACAACAACAACAGCAACAACAACAGCAACAGCAACAGCACAAAGCGTAGCAAGGTGGGCGAGGGTCAAGGAGGATATTTCGATGAGACAACATGGCGCATGTTTATACTGTTTTTAATGCAGCAACATAAACAAGTTAGAATAATGCAATCGTTAACCGACTGCATAATGCTCGTTCATAATGCTGATAAAGAAGATATAGGGGTTTTCAACCTGACTTTAAGCTGAGGTCTAACTGTAAAATAGCTCCATAGCAAGTTAAAACTTGCTGAGTCTAGTTCAACGAATAGAAATGTTCTCCATATCGCGCTGTTAGAGAAACTTCTGAGCAAGAAGAGTATCAATCGATATATATCGATAAAGCAGACTGAGTCAAGCAGAAAAAGGAATTTATAGTTCCAGCCCTAAGAAAGTAGAATTTGACGAATTCTTAAGCCATCAATCGAACAACCATGCCGCAAAATCCAATACACCTCTTTAAGTCTTTCATCAGGCGGGTGTAAGAGAACACTGAAAACTGCAGAAAATACTGTAAAAAGGCAATGTGATTGCAAGTGCTTAGAGCAAAGCAGATGCCAACGCCAGAATCAGTCATAAAACTCACGATTTGCGGTTGAGCGATTGCCCTGGTTGTTGCCTTTCTCTCGCTCTCTCTCTCTCTCTGTCTCTCTCTCCATCATTCTTTCATTTTCTCGTCTTTTTTATGGATAGTTGCAAATTTTACAACCCGTAGAGCCCGAAGATGCTTGCATATTTAGTTCAGAGCGGAACGCCGCGAATTGCTCATCAAAAACTGAGTGAGATGCGATAGAGAGAGAGAGAGAAAGAGAGTGAGAGAGATGAGTAACCGCGACGAATGAGTATGCATAACATTTCGTAATGGATGCCAACTACAGTTGCTCGGTTGAATGAGTGCTATGCTGTGAGTGTTTGACGTGAATAGTATGAGTGCCATATGAATATTGTGAACACGTCAGTTGAGCTTTATTTGAAAGGTGAATATACATAAAACTTTATGATTGGAGCTGAAACGGTGTTTTGAGCCACATCTAATGGGATTTCGTTAGTGGATTAGTTGAGTTTATTTTCAAGAATATTCGAATTGAGTTCCTTGAATTCTTGCATTCCCTTGAACGTCCAATAAACTCATATATCTTTCGACTCATGTTCATCAAATTTGTAAGAAATATAGATTAAATACTCATAAAAATAGCAGTGCTTAGTCGATTCCCAAAAGTCTCTTGATGAGTATTTTATATATATATTGCTTGCAAGTCTCCTAAGCAGTCAGAGTATTTGAGTTAACCTCCGGCAATGTTTCTATCAAATTCTCATAAAAGTATTTTACTTCA